CTGCGCGAAGCGAGGCGCCGTGACTCGGCACCCGCGCCGCCGGCGAGAAGCACCCAGGCTCTTCGAGAAGGGAGGCGGAGGAGCAGGAGTGGGCGGGCCGGCGGCGTCCCGGTGGGCTGGGATTGGCCAGCTGGCTGGCGACGGCTTCGGGGCGCCCCGGAGGCGCTGGGCCGCGGCGAGGCGGGATTGGCCGGCTGCGGGTGGCGTCATCAGGACGTGCCGGGAACCCGCGGGCCACGGCCCCTCTCGGACCCGGCGGCGGCCGTAAGTGCCGGGCGCTCTGGACGGCGCGATGTTGCGGGCGCCGGTGCGTGAGGGGGGCCCCGCCGTCGTCGTTCTTTCGGCCTCGTTTCCGTCTCCGCTCCCTTCCGCTGGCGCCTGCGGCTGCTCGGGTTCCCGGCGAGAGCCAGGTACGGGGCCAGCGTCGGTCCTGTCTGGGGAGAGGGGAGGGGGAGGTAGCGCGGGGTCAGACGCGCTCTCGCAGCGCCCGCCGAGCGGTCGCCACGCAGCTTCCCCCGCTTGTTCGCCGTGGGCCCGGCCCGCAGGGGCCAGGAGCCGGCGTCACGGCAGGACGGCCGCCCTCCGCCGCCCACGTCCCCAGACCGCTGTTCTGTCCCCCGGGCGCCGGGCCGCCACGAGTATCCGCGCATCCCCGCAGGGGACTCGCTCTCCGGTCGCACGGCCCCGACCGACGCCACACGAGACGCAAAGCGAACGGCCGCTTGGGGACTGCTGCCGGTTCTGCTCGCTTCTTTGAGCCACAGCAGCCGCGCAGAAACGAACTCGGTGCAGATGCCAGGAGCTGCGGCGAGCGCCCCCGCCGTGGCTTGAGCAGCGACGCACGACGGGCGTCCCCGAAACGGTCTCTGCGCCTCGTGGCGCGAACGGGGCCGTGGCTGAGTCGGCCGTGGGGGGGTGCGTGCCGCAGAGGTGGAGCGGGTCCCTGAGGAGGGAGGGCGTGCAGTCTAGGTGGAGGGTGGCGAGGGCCTCGGGAAAGACGCTCCTGAGGAAGGCCACTTTGACGCGAGGACCGAGGGGATGAGTAAAAGGTGGCTGTGCTTGGAGGACGGCTAGGCGGGCTCCCGGAGAGAGGAGGGGGCGGATGGGAAATTCCGGAAGGGACCCGGCGGCGTGAATTCTGGGAAGAGCGAGCGACCTGGGACTCTGGGTGGGTACCAGGTAATGGAGCGGGCTTCTTGAGCCCTGCTGTGGGCTTCAATGCTCTCTCAAGGGCAATAGCTTCCCTAGTTGTCTACCTGTTTTCCATGGTGAGTTAACTGCTGAAGCTCCCTGATCGACTCCAGGTTGCTGTCATCGAAGAGTAAATTCAAACTAAAGCTCAGTGCATAAGGGAGTTAGGCAGAGTTGAATCTCCTCTGAATAGTGTACTATAGTTAACTAATGAGATTCAGCACCTAGTAACAGAGCTTTGTTTATGTCAACAAGTGTATTCCTTAGATAAAATTCACCGAAGTAATTTCCACTGGCAGCTGTGTAAATTGAATATGGAAAGCCCCTATCAGTATGAGTTGAAAAATGGTTTAATGAAACCTGGAATCTAGGTGAAGTTTCACAGACTAGGAGTTAAAAGGACTAAAAAGTTGTCTGTCTCTCCTCACGGGGTTGATTCTGAGTGACTGAGACCGGGTATCTGTGTTCATAGTCCCATTTAGTGCTCCACAATCAGTGTTTGCTAGCTGCAAATTATCAATCTTTGTGACTAAATTGGGGCAGTCCTTGCTTTCCTCCTAATCATTCTAATTCTTGTAGGTGATATTTAACTCTGCCGTCTGTGTTTCAACACTGTTCTCACAATGGAGTTTCCTGATTTGGGAAAGCATTGTTCAGAAAAAACTTGCAAGCAGCTAGGTAAGCACTTTTAAGAGACTGTTAATAGGAAATGGTGTATTGTTGGCTATTCTGTGGAGGAGAACTGGTCATTACATTAATTAGGTGATAATTCTGTCGGGGCCTTTCCGACTTTTCTTTTTTTTTTTTTTCTTTTTTGAGTTGGAGTCTCACTCTGTTGCCCAGACTGGAGTGCAGTGGCTGCTCCCGGCCACCGCAGCCTCGACCTGCTGGGCTCCGGCGATCCTTCCGCCTCAGCCTTCCACATAACTGGAACTATAGGAGCGCGCTGCCACGCCCGGCTAATTTTTTGGTTTATTGTGGAGATGAGGTCTTGCCAAGTTGTCCGGGTGGGTCTCGAACCCGCGGGCTCAGGCAACTTTCCAACTTTTCAATGCTGGGAAACTGGCGTGATGCAGGTTCTGTTCAACACTTAGTGTCCACTGAGGCCAGTGCGAGGCTGGTGGCCAGGGACTTAGTGGACTCAAGCATGCCCCTTAAATACTGTGACACCACAGAAATGGAATCTCTCTTGAGAAGATTGCTTTACAGTTTCTTAATTGTTGTTGGCGTTTTGAAATTCATGACCCAAAATTGTTTTCTCATGTGTGATTCTCAAGGGTCTGTTTATCTCATCGGCACGAAGCACTTAGTTTAGGTAAATATCTGCATAGTATGATCTATACTTTTTTTGTTCTGGTTTCTAAGACATTTCACTGTTTTTTGTTTTTTAGATTTCCTCCCAATAAAATGTGATGTGTGTAAACAAGATTTTTGTAAAGATCATTTCACATATGCTGCACATAAATGTCCATTTGCATTCAAGAAGGTAATTCATCGTACTTTGCTCAAAAGATTCTAACCTGTACTGTCTAAAGCTGCGTTGTCTGTTGTATTCAACACTAGCCACATGACTATCAACTTAATGAAAAGTAAATAAAATTTAAAATCTAGTTTCTTGGCCTCTCATAAGCCACATTTCAAGTGTTTGGTAACCGTATGTGGCCGGTGGCCACTGTACTGGACAGTGCAGATAGGAGCATTTCCACCATTGAAGGATGTTGTGTTGGACAGCACAGCTCTAAGACAACTGAGACTTTATTTTCAGGGGGTTGTGGAGTAAATAGTTGTGACCTTCTGTTAAAATATTTGGTTCCTTTGATCTGTTGCACCAAGGAAAACATAGCTGTGTCTTCATGGGATGGAAAAGAAAATGTTGTAGTACTTGGAACCTAACCAGGAAGGCACTAGAGATGCTTGTTCATTTGAGTAACTTTGCAGCCTTGACATCACATTTAGGTGACTCAATTTATACACAGTAGAAACTGAAAGAAGACTTTAAGAAAACTAACTTGAGGCAACAGGCACGCTCACTGTTGTTCTGCCTGAGGTGCCCTTGCCCTTCACAACGTGTCTTTCCCTTAAAGCTTTCCTCGAAAAAAGAAAGAAAGGAAAGCTAACTTGCATAAGCCCAAAGGTTTAAGGCTTTTGTGATTGACTTTTCAGATGACTCCAGCCTGCGTTCACTTTGTTTTGGGGTGTTTCACATATTATGTCAGTGACCTCTGCTGCTTCACCCTAGTGGCAGTGAGTAATGTGGGTGACTTGGCATTCCACACTCTGATCAGTGTTGGCTTGTTTGAGGTCATCATGGTGGCTGGAGAGAGTGACTCACACTCCCCATATTTCCCAGGCATTGATGACCAAGCTGAATAACCCACATATTTGTCAACTGGATCTTTGCATGTTCCTAAGTAGGGAGGAGTCTGGCTAGAGATCATTGAGTGATGCTTTATTTCTTAATTTGGCAGGCTGGCCAACTGAAGGAGCACCACTTAGTGACTCGTCCAGCTCAGCCCACAGGTGTAGGCCCCATAATTCCGTGGTTACCTGCCACCGGTTCACTGTCAGTTGCTACTTCAGTTTTCTTGTTGACTATTCTGTCACCAGGTCGCAGGTCTCCACAGGCGCCACCTTTCTGTCCTGGCTTAGTGTTTTAACCATCTGGGCATTCAGCTACTGGGTGCTCCAGTCACCCTCTCCAGAGACCCCATAGCCTTGGGCTTGCAGCCAGCAATGGTCATTATGGACCTGGCTTCTTTGTGTGCGGGTGAGTGACTCCCTTCATAAAAGAGCCGTGTGGGAAGCCACAGAAGGATCAGAGAGGCTGCTGGCCACTGAGGCAGGCTGATGGTTCGTGTTTCCTCCATCACCTCCACTCTGGAGGCGTTTAGGCAGGTTCTCCTCTCACTTGAGTGGTGTCAGACACACAACCAGCCCTGCTGTCCTGAGACATCCCTGGTTGATTGTACCAGCTTCCTTCCTTAGCCACCTTTTACTCACTGTCCTAGAGTCATGTCTGCAATCGGTTGTCTGTTACATTTACATTCCATTAGACCCACTAAAGCAACTTTCCCTTGTGTTCTAGAGATGCCCTACTGTTAATCCATTGTGCTGACAATGCTTTTTCTTCTCGTGAATGGTCAGACTATTGTTTTTTGCACTGTTTCAACACTTGAAGTACTCCATACAGTAGTACCTTTTTCTTTTGTGAGTTTTGGTTGTCTGAAACTCAGATGTCATATTCATTCTTTTTAGGATGTTCAGGTCCCAGTATGTCCACTTTGTCACATCCCCATCCCCATAAAAAAGGGACAGATACCAGATGTGGTGGTTGGTGACCACATGGATAGAGACTGCAAGTATCATCCTGGGAAGAATAAAGAGAAGGTAAGGATGGGTCTGTGGATGCTGGGTTCTCCTTGAGGAGAGAAAGGTCGATTTTTTAGCTATGACAATTAGTGGCCAGGTGCTGTGGCTCACACCTGTAATCCAACACTTTGGGAGACCGAGGCGAGAGGGTTGTCAGAGCCTGCGGGTTTGAGACCAGCCTGGGCAACATGGCGAAACCTCTTCTCTACAGTTAAAAAAAAAATTAGGGGGGCATGGTCGCATGCACCTGTAGTTCCAGCTACTTGGAAGGTTGAGGTGGAAGGATTGCCTGAACTCAGCAGGTCAAGGCTGCAGTGGCTGTGAGCAGCGTGCCACTGCACTCCAGCCTGGGTGACAAAGTGAGTCTCTAACTCAAAAAGAAAAAAAAAAACCAGAAAAAATTAGTCCCAGTAGTTTACATACAAAGTAAAATCCTAATGCTATATTATCATTTTCATTCGTTGTGAGTAGCATGAGGTTTTATCATTATATAAACATTTAAATATTCTTTAAATAATCTAGGGATCCTAGTTAAGTTCTTCTTTCTCTACAGGAATTTACCAGTTTTTCTCCTGAGGTGGAGAATTAATGGGATTTCCTTTTTTTTTGAGTTGGAGTCTTACTCTGTCGCCCAGACTAGAGTGCAATGACCGCTCCCGGCCACCGCAGCCTCACCTGCTGGGCTCTGGTGATCCTTCCGCCTCAGCCTTCCAAGTAACTGGAACTACAGGCGCGTG